CCCCAAAACCCCAAAACCCCAAAACCCCATTATTACTATTAAGTATAGTATTTTAGCAAATTAATAATTAGAAATGAAACAACAATAAGCATCAGCAGTCATTGAAGATAAAGCGAAGAGATTTTAAGAGACCTTGATTAAGTTTTCAGACCTTCTAATTGCTTCAACATCAAGTTAACACGAGGAAATCAACTTCTGGGAACCTAAGACTCTTGCTCCATATGAGCCACTAACTGTAATTTTCTTTCTTTATAGTCAATTAATGCTAGGACAAAAAGTTTTATGCAGCAGCAAACACACTTTGTGTTAATTCAGGAAATTACGTCTTAAGCTCTCATACAAATAAGACTACTATTAATGTGTGGAGGTGGGATAAGAAGGAGCCTTTTTTGAGATTTCCTTTAAAAGAAGAGTTATCTGTATTGAAGCAATCATAGGCATTTTCAGGATCGATTTGTATTGGAGGGTCAAAGACTGGGAGAATTTACTTATGGTAAATATAAACAGGATAGTTGATTGGTGAGCTTGAAGCTCACTATATGGGCATTAGTGATTTAGAAGCATCAACAGGGGGTGATATGCTAATTACAGGAGGAAAAGATGGCAAAGTAAAAGTCTGGATTATGGAAAAGTAAGTCCATCATTATCAATATAGCATAAAAATACTTTATTCTGACGATTTTAACTCTTCATTATAGATTATTTTCAAGCATGATTGACTAGAATACACTAATGAATCTATAAAATAATTAGAATTAGAATAATCAATGCATAGTAGAGTTTGGAGATCACACTTCAGAAGTAACTCAAGTAGCTTTCAGTCTAAATAATCCAATGAGATGTTTCAGCTGCTCAATTGACAAGTTGTTTAAGGTTTATGATATTTCTGCAAAGTGTGTAATCAAAAATATCTAGCTTCAGTCACCGATTCACAAATTTGTTGTTGACAGCATCGAATCCTACGTTTATTTAGCCTGCGAAAATCAGAATATCTACTGCTATTCAATGGAGCTCTCTTAATCCGACTTGAAATCAAAGCATAAAAAGACTTTACAGCACAAGTAATTTTCTAAAAATTATTTTATTCATTATAGAAAGAAAGTTACAGCTCTATGCTTAACTTTTGATGGCTAATATTTAGTGAGTGGAGACCAGTCTGGTCTCATCTATATTTGGAATATTGCCTCGGCTGATTTTCATTAAATCCAATCAAATGTTGCATCTCCAAGAAATGGTGCAATGGCAAATGGAGGAAGTTCTATTCTAAATCAGAAATCTGAATTGATAGGTGTTGGGTCTTAGCTTCTTTAGACCTTTGAGCTTCATAGAGACAAAGGAGCTATTACTAATTTATAGTGTATCTATAGACCTTTGTCACTTTATGGGTTGACAGCTAACATGAAAGCTTATGAACCTGTAGAGATTAAATCATTTTAAAAGTAAGATTATCTGCAGTCAAAATTTGCTAATTAGGATCTTTAATTTGGAGCTTGAGAATTAAAATAGCTTAGTCTAGCTAAGTTTAGATAACTTTCAAAGTATAGAAAATGACCATGAACATTGGTTATAGAGTCATATAGAATAGTAAGATGAGATGGACTATTTAATAAGGTCAAGTCAGAGAATATTCAAGCCTGATGCCACGAATTTAGTGAAGAACCAAGCTTTAGATAAACTTAAAAATATCAAAAGTGATAAGAATGCGAATGAGGGAGGCGAAGACTTTATAGGAGTCCCAGATTAAAATAAAGAGGTTAGTTAAGGAGATTTGGTAATGAGTGATATTGATAAATTTAAAGAGGAAAATAAAAGGTTGAAAAGAACTTTGCTTGAAAGATTCGATCATACATTTAGCTGAGGATGGGTCAAGTAGCTTGGGTAATTAAATGATGTTCAAACTTAATTAAGACTTAATTTATAAAATTATTAATAACAATAATTATTAAATTTAATATAACCATTACAATAAAATGAGAGCTAGTTTTTATCTAAATTATGTCTCAGGTCTAATGAGAAAGAACCTCAGAGGCATTATGAGAGTAATAATATAGTTTTATCTCAGATTCTTACTTATTTTTAATGTAGTACTCAGGAGAATATAACATACTGATATTTACTTTTGGATTGATATACTTTGACCACTATTTAGAGAATAAAATTAGAAGAGACTTGCAGAGATTAATTACTTTGAAAAGATAAGTAGAGAGACTAAAGGAAGAAGCTCCTCCTAGTTTGTGAGATTTAAAGGGTTTATCACAGTGTCTAATTAATTGGCTTAAATTTATCCATAATTTTATATTTCACACATTTTCTACTACTAAATTCATCTTAGTGGGGTTTTGGGGTTTTGGGGTTTTGGGGTTTTGGGGTTTTGGGG